TATGTACTACCGGGTGTGCCTCCTGACTCGTGCGAGCAGTCCAGGAGGCTGCTCTTGCCAATGCCGAAGGGAGGCAGGGGCTGCAGCTGCAGCTCCTGCTCAAGCTCGTGAGGAACAGGCTATTTCTGGCCTGTTCCGAAACCCTGTATTCGTGTCTGAGTCTTAGGGGTGGTCGAAACAATGAGGGGCTGAAAAAGGCCCTCCGTTGCAGGCTGGAAAAACTCTGGGCCTGAAAGGCCCAGAATAGGCTGAAACGGAGTAGGGCCTGCAGACCCTCGTATTTCAGTTTTCAGGCTGAACGAAGGGGGCCTGTAAGCCCTAAGTTTTAGGCTTTTAGGCTGAAAGTGCGGGACGGGCCCTGCAGGGCCCGTGTGGCTAAGCAGTATGCCACACTGGGCCTAGTGTGGTTGGGCGCCCAACTGTCTCTGTATGAGGCTGCGAATCACGCCCAGGGCCTGCATTCTTTGGAAAGGCCCGGAGGGCCGTGGAAATGTCTTTGTTGCTCGGCTTGTGTTTCTCTCAACCAACTGGCGCGTCGCAACTGCCTGTACCCCCAAATATGAAATTGACAGTCGTAGGCCTCTTGTGAAATGTTAGGCCCGCCTTCACGTAGGGCGGGCACCTCCGCCTTCACTTAGGGCGGGCAATGCTGCAAACAGGGCCCCTTGGGCCTACCGAGGACCCTGATCCTCGCACTTCTCACTTTCTATAATTGTTTATTTTGTTTTCTCAAGAGGACTTCGAACTGAGGGGGGAGGACGGTTGGGGATTGCGGGATTTGAAACCACAACCTACCCAATTATCTGCTGTATGTCAAGTTTCTGCTATTTTTGTTCTTGCCTGGATTTGAACCGGGGACCAAACAAAGCATGAACAGTTGTTCTGTTTTCTTTTTTTTATTGTTCTGAAGCAGATGCATTTTGAGGCGGGCACCTGTGTGTACAGTCCCTAATTGCCTAGCATAGTGATATGATCTTCTTGGCTGGTAGTTTTAGGCTTCTCTTTTGGTAGACGCACACTGTAGGCCTAGGCAAGTAGCTGCTCCTCAAATTGATGAGTTGGGGCAAAACCCTCATAGGGAATCCATTCGCCATATTTTTTGCTGCTTGCTGAGACTAGAGAGGAGCTTCTTTCAGCACTGCTCAAGGAGAGAGAGAGTGCAACCATAGTCAGTGAGAACTTGCTGTTCACCGGACAGTTTCTCGATCCGATTGTTGCATATTGCTCAGGGAGGCCGGGCCTTTAATTATCCATCACATGTTTCTGGTTTCATCAACCATTTTGTATGTGACTATTCAATTCCGATTTTCTGTGGAGTTGGAGGCCATTGTGATCTCATCTCAATCAAGTGTGTAAGTGAGATGATGAGTGGAAGTGCTTCAAATTTTGGAAATTCATAATAATGGCGGTAACTTCGTCAAATGCCTTGTTGGCAGTAGTCTTGTCCAGAAATCTTTCTTTGATTTTCTTTAGAAATTCTTTCAAGTTCAGTGTCATAGACTTGTAGCCCAGTTCCCAATAAACTTAAAGACAGCAGCATTGGCCTCGGACAGGACCTATGCCTTGCTGTCTTCCCCGAGATATGACATTGTGTAGGCCACCTGGCTGTTTTCCTCTACCTATTTAACCGTTTGAACGCCATGAACCCGCGCTCGCGTTCAAATTTGCGTTTGAACGCGAACTCGAATTCGCATTCAATTTTTTTTTTTTTTTTTTTTTTTTGGGAGCCCATTTACAAGCCCTCTATCCCAGTGGTGGTAAGAAAACCACTAGGATTGAGGATTTGATAGTCGGGTTGCTCCATCTATTGGTGGGGAGCGACGCCTTCTGGGAACGAGACCCAGCGTCACTCTCTCTCTCTCTCTCTCTCTCTCTCTCTCTCTCTCTCTCTCTCTCTCTCTCTCTCTCTCTCT